AGGTAGAATGGTCAATCAAGAACCATTTTGTAGAGCGTGTTCTGCTGCATCTTTTCACACTAGAGACACATTTTTAATCATGTATTTTACTAAAGAAAAACTAACCATTCAAATCGAGTCAGGACTTATGGGCCACCCTTTAATGGAAATTTATATTTTCATTTCGTGCTGGTTCGACATTAAAGCTTTCAGAAACAGGCGAAAATTTTATCAACCATAAAGGCAGTTTTTTCAGAACTTGATAATTATTATTACCCTATATATATTTCTTTGAGAAAAATCATGGGATAAACCTTAACAGATCACTGATTATTTGGAAAACGCTTTCAAAAAAAAAGATCAGAACTCTCGGATACTTAAGAAAAAAAGTCCTTAAACTTTCACGTGAAGTGTTTAATAATGAAAATAAGTCTTGGAAAGAATTTTAGAATTTAGAAGTAACGATAACATCAGTGAGTAACTATAATTTCGTTCTTTGAATAAATTTCAACATAAAGAAATGCTGATTTTTTAGCTTTTGTTTGTTCAGAAATAGAGAGAGAGAGACTAGGATAGAATAAAAGGAAGACAACGTTTAATATCAATTAATCATCACAGACAGTAACGGATGATTCACTACCTTTGTCCTTGGACGAGTTTTTGTCACTATCTGAAAAACATGGAATTTTTAACAAATATACACTGTTTTATTTTAATTAAACAACTATAGATTCGAAAAATATATATAACTTTTATCCACACCACAGAAAAACGAAAATACATAATACAAGTCATTTTTCTAAATAACTATTTTAATCACCTTGCATCACCCTTGCTTTGTCCATTGTAGAGAATTGATCTTCTAGAATGTAGTTTCCAGCCCAGAATTTTAAATTATCAGGCCATATACTATTTCAAATACATTCAAGGCCTCGTTTATGTCAAAATACGTCTCAAAAGATCCTTAATACTTTATTACTATACAGACGTAGTGCGTTTAACACCTTTTCTTAAACTTCTTCTTGTATTTTGCGTTGAAAGCACTGGATTATGTTGTTGCGTTTGTTGTGGTAGTGGTTGTTGTTGTTGTGGTGGTGGTTGTTGTGGTGGTGGTTGTTGTGGTAGTGGTGGTTGTTGTGGTAGTGGTGGTTGAGCTGGTCTTAGGTGGTTTGCCGATGGAGACGATGCAGAATTGCATATTAGAGCATTTGTATCTTTTGGTATGTGCATCTGTTTGTTTATGGGCGGTGTGGTAGTATTAAATAGAAGTGCCTGGGATTTTGATTTAACCATTTTTGTTAGTAATGCCATGTCTTCTTGTCGAATTAGAATACGACAGTATTCACCATAAAAATTACTTGGCGAACGAGGAAGAAAATTTTTATCTGCGATAATGTAATTCGTTGATGTTTGTGAAAATGGCTGCAGTGGTGGTGTTTTATTATAATTGGGATCAAACGGTATTCGGCGTCTCGGTAGTTTTAAACGTTGAGGATCGGGATTGGTCGTATAGCGGACACGAGGAGTTTGTGTTAGATTATTCGGGAGATGTTGATGATGGTGATCAACGTAGCCTCTTGGCATTGTCGAATTTTCTCTTGGTTTCCCAGCAGAATTTGTTAAATGTGCTAAATTCAACGGTAATGCCGTTGTCATCTGTAAACAATTGCTCATTAATTCTCGTGTTCGTTCACGCAGTTTTTCTTGTTTTCGAACTAATGCACGAAAACGATAAATGAACCAATAAACGGTTAATACGCCAGTCAATTCTTGTAATACGAATGACATAACAGCACATAAAAATGAAAAACCATACTGACAATTCATAACACGAAATTCTTGATCAAATTTTACAGATTCTTCTGTCGTAATACTAACATACAATGTAACACCAACCATCGTTAATAAACCTAAAGAGAAAATTTTACACAATTGCTAAATGAAAATGTAAATTTTCTATAGTATTATACTATGAATAATTTTAGCGATTAAATGTTTGCAGCACATATCATCCACGTTCATAATTTTGTTTATAGAAAATAAACAACTAGATAGTTATCATTCTACATATGACTTGCAGATGCGATTAAGTGAAGTTTAAACATATCTTGTTGGAAAATTGATTGTTGTTGACTATTTAAACGAGAGAAATTGCTCGATTTACTCGGCGAGTTGTCTGATGGAACACAGTTTTTTTACAGATAATTTCTTATACTAGTGTTACGAATCGATATCCATTTCTACTGGTGTACTTTTCTAAAAGTGGTCTCGGTTTCGGACTATGAGGACTCTACACATCTAGAACCCATTTTCGAAGAGCCAGTTTTTCATAGTAACAGTTTGTAAAGGATAGTATTTAAATCCATACATTTTTTCGACGCAAAGATAACTATTCACATAGTGGCATAGTAATGAAAGTCTGATTAGAAAATGTGTGAGTTGTGAATGTTGTAGCTGATTTTAAGATTAAAAAATTTAAAAATATTTTCATTGTTTGATCATTATGTGTTGATGCTGTTCGAGTGATTGAAACCTGCTCAGTAAATGGTCAAGGATTGAGATAGCAATGTTTCTATCGACGATAATAAATTTCTCAGCGAGATGGGTTTAAACTTCACTTAGTCGCATTTTGCAGTTATGCATAGTATAATAAAACTAATTTATAAAAAAGATAGATGAATCAACAGATTATTGATACACCTGTCAATTCTTATAATACAAAGTGCTTAATAGAACATAAAAAATTCTAATCTAAAATTAGAAACTTACGAATCACAATTGATGTTGGTGTTCTTATTAAAAGATACTGGTTATGCAGAATGCCCAAAACCATTACCACCGCTAATTACGATACGATAATTAGCTTTTACAAAACAGACGATATACCGTTCAAGTTAGCGATGGTATTAGAATAGCCTGAGAACTTTGCTTATTTTCCAGAATTTCTAATGAGACCTCTTTCGTCATCCTCATGAAGTTGGCTTATCCTCGAAGAGACGAAGCTGATTTTTCATCAGCAAATACGCCGCAGTCTCGAATACTCAACTGCAAAAACGTACGAAAAACTTCGAAATGAGCGAGAACCACCAAAAGTCAGAAAATAATTTCAACATTCTATATCGGTACAGTCACATGAGTTCTCAATTGTGGCATATGCATAACCAATAGAAGTATACACAAGCTGTTCATTATAAAATTCGTTCAAAAATATTTCGCTTATGGTGAAATGTATTCTTTTTCTTTACTTAGCATACTTAACTGTTCGATGAATGAACATTGTACTTATGATTCGCTATACTCTTACAGGAAAAAAGACTTGTAAATACGTTGCGAAAAGTTAAATTTTTGACGGTCCTAGATCTCTGATGACCGAAAATAATAAAAATCAACTCTCATTGATCTATGTAAAACACTCAATCTACTATACATCACCACTAAGTAAATATAGATCTTTTCTACAAGTAGCCTGTCATATTGTGATAAAATAACAATGACTATCCATTTGATCGACTCCCATCAAACCATTGCTCATTTTATAACTGTACGAATCATGTAAAATTTTTATTTTATTACCTGAGATAGAAAATAAAAGTCCTGAGATGAAAAATACTGCTTTTCGGCGTCGTTTACATAAACCTCGACTGAATAAAAATATGGCTAATACCAATAATGCTGAGGCAGCAGTAAAACATGCCATGCTTGGTGCCGAGCGATCTAAAATAACAAAAATCAACAAATATGAGAGAAAAACCAAATGTTACATTAAAACTTACATGAAACTGCTTTAAATCCTTTTTCTAATTTTGCCTCTGCTTTTGAATATTTCACCAAATCACAGATGTAGGGAAGATCTTACAAAAGAATCGAGTTAAAAATCAGACTAATGTACAATGAAGTCATGAGACTGTAAATATTTCTTACCATTTGTTTCTTTTACACATTCTCTCCATAATCCAATTCGATGAAACGTAAAATTTAATGATCGAATGTCACCTGGTCTTAATGTTGGATTTTGTGATAAACTGAAGTAAGAGAAAACAGGTTAATGACAATACTATAGTATAAAAAAAATAACTTCAAATTTTATACCGTGTTTGATTTCCGTATATCCAATGATCCGTTAATAAACATATTCCCATAAGTGTCGGTGCTGTATACGCACTAATAGAGGCTGATATCATTAATGCTTTGTGATGAAGATTACCCATTTAATAAATGACAACAGCGACCCATCGAATAGAGGTAAGTCGTTCCGTCTATTCGTTAATGATGTAATATTATGTTTAAAAATGTAAAATTTAAATTAAGATAAAAAGAAAAATGATATAAAATCGACCAGCGAACAATATTAATATATAAAGAAATAAAATAAAAAATGAAAAAATTTATTAATATACTATACACACAGACAATGATATCTTATTAATTCAAAAACATATTTTTGATCAAAATCGTTCTTCTTAAATTAAATAAATTAAAATAATTTAGAATGTTTAAATTTAACAACTCATTACTAATCATTGTAATAGTCGTTGTCAATCCATCAATCAAAGATACCAATTTATATGACATATTTATCAGTTAAAAATAAAAGTTTGTCTAAAAGTAAAATTATTCGTATATTATATGGCTATAATAATTTAATATTTTATACTAGATATATAAAAATGTATATACTTATAAATCCATTTCTCATACGCACATTAAAATATTGTTGATCTTGAAAAAATAGGACATTTACTTCTTTATATGTTGAAACCTGTATTTGAATCCGATTCTTTTTCCCGATATTGTAATGATTAAGCGTATGTATTACTACTCATTCAGTAAATCCATTTATCATATGAATAAATTTACTTATAGACTGAAGTATGTCTTCATCAAATAAATATCTATATACTAATAGTAAAATTTGATTACAAGTAGAAATATGTCTTGCCTCTAATAAAAAAAAAAAGAACGATAATTAGTTACGCAGTGTGCAATAGATTTAGCTCAATGTTAAACTTTATGTGTAATCATTTAGAACTGAGACTAGTGTATGAAAAAATTCTTGTAACATTGTAAGATCTCTCGAATAAACTTCTGTTTCCAGTGTTTGTATTGTAAACTATTCAGAAATAATAAAATATGTTTTAGAAGTCTCGAATGATATTTAACAAGAAAAATTCCTTTGTCCGATTGATATGTCTGCCATACTTACTATAATATTCTCTCACGTTTTTATAGGTCTCCTGTTTTCATGTAGTAGAAATTCGTTTTCTTGAAATAAAATTTATAAGACATGTTTTAAAAAATACTACGGTGGCTGTCAGAGACGAAGAATCTGTTTATGAGTTTGATAAAATTCCATTAATCAAACATATATATATATATATTCAAAAAGCAGCTGGATTTTTGCATTTCTGAATCCAGTAAGTAGAAAAGACGTCGATACACTTAAATTTCATTAGTATATAGGCGGCGGACACAGTTGAAGAAACTGCTCTTTTCTTAACGAAAGTTACTGTTTCTTACCGCTGTGTTACTATAAATGCTCACCGTTAATAAATTACTTGAATAAAAATATAAGTTTTGTATGACAAAAATGCTTACATCATGCAATAATTTCCCTCACTCTCTGTCTTTTTCTCTCTCGTTGCTCAAATTATCTATTAGAACACACCGAGTTCAGTTTCTCTCCCTCTCATCCTAGTCTAATTTGTTGTGTGGTAGTTGAAAATACTTTCTTCTCTCTGACAACATTAGTTTTTTTCTCTTCTACCCTCTAAGATTTTAACCGTTAGAACCCATAACCAAAAATCTTTCTGACACATAAGCGAAATGTCATCTAGGATTTATATATCTCTCTCTCTATATATATATATATATATCGGCTAGCATAAAACAACAACATAAACTTTTAGGCTTTTGAAGTATTAGATCTTTGTTACAATAGATTGTCAAACAAAAAATAACCGAAGAAGAAAGAACATGAAGAAAAAAACGACGAGAAAAATAGAAAAATATGATGATGGGTGAGATGATCTATCTCAATGATTAAGTCCTTGAGCTAATATACGGATAAAAACCCAAAATTTTATTATTGTTCATTTTCTCGGTTTAAGGATTATTAAAAAATTTTTTGTTTCTTCGATTCTGTTGTGTCAAAAGAACAGCAAAAAGAGAAAGAAAAAGTCCTTTTTCCCTTTTTGTTTATCTCAGATTCTTTTTAAAGAATAAACAATCTAACGATTATCACCATTATCATATGATCCATTTTTTTCTTTAACCGAGGGTTATAGTATGCAACTATATATGTGTTTAGAAAAACTAATAAAAGAAGGAGAAGAAATTTTTGTTTTATCGACGATCGAGTCTTTTGATTTTTTTACACAGGTTCCAATCTAGTATTAGCACGCATCTATATGGCACGGATGATACAATAAGTTTATTTTTTTTTCTAGTAGAAATTACATTCTTTTTTGTCTACCCATTTTCATTATACCACATAAAAAAGATGAGCACTTTTGAAGGATTAATGTAAGATTTTTTTTGTGTAAGAGAACAATTGTCTGTTTTTCTATCTTGTACGATCGCTCAATAGAGATCAACCATGTTCTTTGTCTTGTACGGACATATGACAAGACCACATCTCCAAGAGTGGATTCAATAATTGCATGCATAAATATGCGATGAAAGAGAGAGAAAGAGAGAGAGAAGAAGAGAAAAATATGACAAACGAGTATTTTTCTGTGTACGATTTCAGAAAAGTGCATGAAAAAAAGATAGAACTAATGACTTAAACATGCATTTATTTGAAATAAGCAAATAAAAACTAATCAGTGTGAGCATGAACAAGAGCACGCGGATGTACAAATACAATGTTCTTCTTAAACAAAGTGTTCAATTGGCCGCATGCTTTTCTGATCTTTTTTGTACGTCTTTCTTCTAAATGTGTATTTAGCTAGTTTAGTTATACTATACAGATTAAGATGAATCCTAGATCATACTATATGTTTACAAATATATTTTTTATGATTTTGAATCTTGAGCCAAGACTCTTGACACGATTTTTTTTCTCAAAGAGAATCTATTTCACAGTGCATTCAAAAGTGTCTGGAATTAGATGAATTAGTTCTCAAAAAGATGATTTATCAGACGAATTTTAAAAGTAACTATTTCTTTATTCTTTACTGCTGTTGCATAAAATTTGTTACATATTACAGTAACTAAATAAACCATATGAACTTTCATTTCACTGTTGCGACGCGAGTCACTAAAATATCTGTGACGCTAAATAAAAATCATAGACAAAAGGGAATGTTATATTACAAGAGATGAACTTGAAATTAAGTAAATTCTTAAATTATAATCATGATTATCAAGCTGTGAATCGTTGCTTTCAGTGAAAAAACAGTAACTATTCTGGCAATATTAATTCAGCCTATATAAACTAGTTTATAATCAATGCACACTGTTTACCGAAATTCCGCAACAGTCAAAATCAAATAATGCAACTATTTTTATTATTATTTTTCATAGGTCGTACAAATGCATTTCTCATTTGTGTACAAAAAAATATGACATGTTTGAAAATTCAAGTAATTTACACACATTTATTCATTGTTCAAACTGAGAATCAATTCTTGAAGACTGTCCATCGATTTTAATATTTTCTGAGATAAGGAATGGGGTTATACAGATATGTTCTACATACTGTATATTCTTCGAATATATTATAACAGCATTAAGTGAGTAGAATGCTTGTGTTAAATGATGTGATGGTGGGATGAGACAACGAACAATCAGATGTTCGTATAATAGTGCACTCGTAGCATGCAGTAAATACTCTTTTAACGGAACAACAGCACAAAGCAAAGACGAAACTAAAGTGTCACACATAGCTAGGCTTGCACCAGTTTTTAACTGGTGTTGGGGCATCCAGGAGAATTACTATACACCAGTTATCACGAATCGCTCAGAGCCGTGAAATATCTCATTTTGTAGGAAAATGTTTGCTCTACAAAATGCATTTGTTAAAAAATTTCCAAAATCATTTCTATGAAAACTTAGAGCATTCAAAAATACATTAAATACGGAAAAAAAACTGTTATTTTCGTGATTTTGTGCATTTTAGAATGTTCTAAGTTTTCATAGAAATGATTTTGGAAATTTTTTAACAAATGCATTTTGTAGAGCAAACATTTTCCTACAAAATGAGATGTTTCACAGCTCTGAGCGATTCGTGATAACTGATGT